AACACCTCCTGGGGGTGCGCGAGGAAGACCCAGGAGACCCCAGGAAACCGTGCCCCCCCCCCACACCCCTACCCCAGCGCCTCCTCCAGACGCCCGGGAAGGGGGCGAGGGGTGTGAATTTTCTCTTAAGTGGTTTGGGAACCTGGATTCTGGGCGGGAGAGGGGAAGCCAATGGAGATGGGGTCGCCGGGAGTGATTGGAACTGGATGGAATAGGGGGGTCACGAGAGAAAGTTCTTTCCAGTGACGGCTTTTGGAAAGGAGAGGGGTAGGGAGGTGGCAAATTGGTGAAAAAGATGGTAATCTGGTGGTGGCAAAGACTTTAGAGAATGCAGCGGGAACTCCACCTAAAAAGCGATTAAAGAGAATAAAAAAATCACACAACAGGGATTTTCTTTGGACTGACACTTGCTTCTCCTTCTAGCAATTTACCTGCTAGGAGCAGAGGTCAGTTTAGGCACGCCTGTGAGAAAATCCCAAACCAGGAATTTTCTGCTCAGGTCACGCGAGGCACGTGCAGTTTTACAATATTAGATTCTTCCAGTCACTTTTTATAGAAAGTGATGTGGTTTTATAAGAGTGATACAAAGGTTTTTGTGACAGGTAAAACCAACGTGTAACGGGGCTTGCGAATGTGAGAAATCACTGGGTATAAGCTATATACTACTGAATTAGACTGGATTTAGAATTTTTGGTGTCATTTTACATTAGATACAAGGTTTGGTTTTTGGAAATTGGATGGAAAGTTCTGGGGATCGCACTGCTTTCGTTAGCTACATATAAATGCTATTCAAATAATATTTTTGAAATGATCAGCAGTTCTTCTGAATTGTTCCTTATGTAGCATTTTTGCCAAATTTATTTTTTTAATATTAATCTGTCAAATTACGATTTAGTTTCTCACGTATTTGTCATTTCAGTTGAAGGGAACTGAAGAGATGTGTGCCATTCAGATACACCAGTGCCACACATACAAGGTCTTGTACATTAAGGAGACAGCCTCAGATTTCCATAGGTCACTCTAAATTATCTCATTCAAACTGCCATCATTTTCCGCGCAACAGTGGCTTCAGTTACTACAGGACAACACAAGATATACGCCCATGGCATATCCAGTAACCAGGAAAACAAGCATTCTCACGACCCAGCCGAACTGCTTCTTACCATCAACCTGAAACTCCAGCTTTATCAAGACTCATAAAGTAATTGTGCATGCTTCTTGCTCAATCCCTACCAGGAAACCTGTATCTGCCAGGAGTTGTCACAGAATAAGAAGTTCAAAAGCTGGACGATATCTTCAGGGTCATAATTTCAGCCTCCTGCTTCCAGACAGAACTATTTCTCCACCACTGAAATGCATATAGATTTTGAAAAAGTCTCCAGACATAACCTTTCTTAAGTGTTTGGTTCCAGGAGTCGTGGTAGAGTATATAAAAATGATGACATCTCTGCTGTGTATTTGAAAAATTTTTTAAACTTCTGAAAAACCGATTGTATTTTTGTTCTGATGAAAAGGTGTAAATTCAGGAGAAAACAATAAGCAGATGAAATAAACTCAGGATGAAGAAAATAATCTAAAAATAGTTATTAAAATTGGAATTTCCTCCTATGAAAATTTGGATTTCTGATACTTAAAAATATATATCTACATGATGAATACAACCCGTAAAGTCATGTGTTATAAAGACAAGAACTAGCAGAGATCACAGGAAAATAAAAGGCTTGATTTGCTGAAGTGATCAAGACAGTAGCTGAATTTTTTCTTTAATATTGGTTTGCGTAAATTGAATACCAGCTATAATAATAATTCTTTTGAAACAGAACATGATATTTTGTGTTGCGTTACTGATGCTTGGGTTGGACTGATTCCTTGTGAAAGAAATCATGAAATCTAACAGCTCCTCCTGTATGGAAAAGTGGTTTCCCAACCACCTGTCTGGAAGGTTTCTGGCCCTCTTTTGTGTACCATTCCCTCTAATCTCCAATACCAGCTAGCTTAGTTTAGTGCTTTATGGTTTTGGCATGACCTGATGAGAGGGAATAAAAACTTTAAAATGTTTAGAAAAGAATCCAGTCCTCTCAGAAGACTAATCTTTATGTCAAATTATTTTTAAGACCTGTATACAGCTGTCTTAGAGGAAAAAAATTCATACACAACTTTCTATCTCTCCTTGTTATTAACTGCAAGGCCTAGAAAGCTAAATTGACCTCCCTGAGCCTCAGTTCCCTCATCCATAAAAGGCAGGAATACCTGTGCTCTACTGACTGGCAGGGTCAAATGTGTATCTGTAAATAAGGTGATTTATTAGCTGTTATGCAAAGTAAATTATTAATAATTCCACTCGAGTGGAATTTTCTTAGGACATGGATTTGGGGTTTTTTTGTTGTTGTTGTTGCTTTTATGTTTGTTTGTTTTTTTTTTGTCACCAGGGTAGAAAAGAAGACATGGGATTTTTATAACCTAAAATTGGTGAAAATATAAGAAACCTTCCAGGAGAAACATACAGTCAATCACAGGATTTTATGCCTAGAAGGGGTCACAGGAATCACAGGATTTTATGCCTAGAAGGGGTCTAAGATATCTTCTAGTTCATACTCTTCACGTTACAGATAAAGAAATCAAGGCAAAGAAAGCCAGTATGTCGGCCGGGCGCGGTGGCTCATGCCTGTAATCCCAGCACTTTGAGAGGCCGAAGCAGGTGGATCACGAGGTCAGGAAATCGAGACCATCCTGGCCAAGATGGTGAAACCCCGTCTCTACTAAAAATACAAAAATTATCTGGGCTTGATGGCGCATGCCTGGAATCCCAGCTACTCGGGAAGCTCAAGCAAGAGAATCTCTTGAACCAGCGAGTCTTGATCGGAGGTTGCAGTGAGCCAAGATCGCGCCACTGCACTCCAGCCTGACTACAGAGTGAGACTCCGTCTCAAAAAAAAAAAAAAAAAAAAAAAAAGCCAGAAAGCTGGTATGTCTTATCCAAGGTCATGCAGTAAATTGGTGGCAAAATTGTTGTTATGACCCATGCTATCCACAGATGATCTTGTCAGTTCTGGCAATATTGGAGTGGGAGAAGAACCTCAATTACATTGCAGAAAAATATATTAAATATAAAAGGGCTGGGTACAGTGGCTCACGCCTGTAATTCCAGCACTTTGGGAGGCCAAGGCAGGCAGATTGCTTGAGCCCAGGAATTCGAGACCAGCCTGGGCAACATGGAAGACCCTGTCTCCACAAAAAATGCAAAAATTAGCCAGGCTTGGTGGCTCATGCCTGTGGTCCCAGATACTTGGGAGGTTGAGGTGGGAGAATCACCTGAGCCCCAGAGGTTGAGGCTGCAGTGAGCTGTGATTGTGCCACTGCACTCCAACCTGGGTGGTGGGAGTGAGACCCTGTCTCAAAATAAGTAAATAAATTAAATATAATATTCTCTGATAATATTTTCGAGAATATGTTAACAATCAAGACAGTTGGGAAAGTGGGAACATGGAAGCAAGCTAAGGGAATCACTGAATTTGTAACATTTGCTTGAACTAATGACTGCTATTGAAGTTCCCCACCCCCACCCTCATCCTAAGAATCGTCCCATTATTTATTTATTTTGCCTGTGTGGTTATCTTTTAAATAGATAATACATTTTCGTGCTATATTATTCTAAAGAAACCAGAGAATATGCCATGAAAATATCTTTCTGCCCCTTCCCCCACCCCTCATTTCCTTTGGAGAAAGCAGTTTTC